AGGAGAGGGCCTGCTGTGGGACTAGTTGTAAATGGCTGTGGCCCCCGCAGTCCTCCCTTTGGAGGACAGAGTATAGCAAAGCATATGGCTGGCAGCTAGTGTCTAGTGGCGTCTTTTTGTTTCCACGTTTGTTTTTACTGATAGCGTGCCCGGGTGCTTCCCAGCAGCTCTGCCTGTGAGCCACGGGGATTCTCTTCGACTATTAAACAGGAGGCCACTTTAAACGTTTAAGAAGGGTTAAAGGGAGCTGGGGGACACTGGCGACCTGGGAATGACAGTCTACAGAGGCTCCTTAATGCAAGCCTCTGGCCTGGCACAGGCCTTGAAATTTGTGGCTTCTGTCTGTAGTCCAGGCATGGGGAAGGTGACCTGGTCTTCTTCCATCAGACCCACCAGCCCCGTCCTAATCAGTCGGAGTTGCTCACTGGCTCAGTGACTCAGTCTTCCTTCCTTCTCTTCCTTTCCTTTCCTTTCCTTTCCTTTCCTTTCCTTTCCTTTCCTTTCCTTTCCTTCCCTTCCCTTCCCTTCCCTTCCCTTCCCTTCCTCCCTCCCTCCCTCCCTCCATTCTTTCTTTCTCTTCCTTCCTTTCTCTCTCTCTTTCTTGTGTGTGTATATGGATGTGCCTCGTTACGCACACGGAGGTCAGAGAACAAGCTGTGTGAATCTGTTCTCTCCTTCCACTATGTGGCTCCCAGGGATCTAATTCAGGTCACCAGGCTTGGCTGAACTGTTTCACCAACAGCTACTTGGTCTTTCTTGTCTCGGGGGAAAGCTTGGGTTTGTTTGTTTTGTTATTGTTGTTTTGTTTTGCTTTTTGCCAGGGCTTGGCTGTCTCATGAACTTTCTTGTAAGGAAATGAGGCTGGTGTGGGCAGCAAAGGTCTTTGGCAAACCCAGAATGAGCATGGGCACTATCGGCAATGTGTCTCTGTCCTCTCAGATCACTCTGAAGCAATCTACGTGTGCCTACATGTGCTAGCTCTGCCACGTGGGATGGCCACTGTTGTAACAGCCATGCCAACTGTCCCTGTCAGTTGTCACCTGTAGCCAGACCGCACAAGAAAGCAGATGATGTGGAAGTTTGTCCTGTGTCACTGGTGTGTCTGTAAGCTGTACTGCAGGCAGGAAGATGTGACGCGGAATGGCAGGACAAGTGGACACCTGATGGGTTTTAGTCGCTCAGGGGAGGACACAGACATACAAGATCAGGTTTGTGTCCCTAGTACCCAGAAACTGTGGGCCAAAGGACTTCCCAGCTGGAGGACAAAGGACACAGCATGACCATTGGCAGCACAGAAGAATAACACCTTCTATTTTGGTAAAACGACAAAAGGCCGACCTGAACTGAATCCACCAACAGCAAATCCTCTCTGCTTGAGAAAGCCCAGTCTCCAGCACACCCTTCCAGGGAGACTGGACTTTACAAAACATACCTGATCAATTAAGCAGAACCTTCTAGTACTTCCAGAGGTGCATAAAGTAAAAGTTGGGTTAAATTCTGTACACTGTAGGTAAAAATCCCGTGTTTGTGATATTTGAGAACATGTGGCCCTTAGAGCTCGTGCTTTCAGTTCAAAGTTCAATGTCAAAATTCAGGATGATTGGATAATGTCTGCCAATATCATTGAAATATTTAGGAGAACTTCATGATCACTCTGCTTATGTCAGAGACTTAATTCTAAAATCGCCCTTCCTTGGAAAGACTTTGTTCTCTGCTGTAGAAGAAAGGGGATTCAAGGGTCTGAGAGTTTCACTCACAACAGAACACTTTTGCCTAGAACCTAGACAAGATTCTAGAGGTCAGTGAGGGGTGAGTGTGAATATTTCAATCCTTCAGTTCCTAATTTCAGTTTAGAATAAGATGGGCTGGCAAGATGGTTCAATGGGCAAAGGTGTTTGCGGCCAACTACAACCTGAGTTCCATTCCGGAGACCCACATATTAGAAAGAGAAAACCAGTTCCTAAAAGTTGTTCTCTGACCCCCATGTGTGCTGTGCCATTCATTACTGTACATGCACACACACACACACACACTGTGTATATTTATATGTGTGTATGCACACACACAGTATATATTTATATATGTGTGTATGCACACACATATATATACATAATTTTAACTCATTTTCAGAGTTTGCTTTGTGCTCTGCACTGGAACATCTCAAATGGAAGTAACACAGTGGCCATCATATCGGACAGCATAGAACTGAGGGAATTAATTAACTAGAATTAATTAGTAAGGGACATTTATTATTTTAAAAAGTTGCTTTCATCAGCCTGATTAGCTCAAAGGACCCTTGAAATGATCAGACTTACATAAAACAAAATTTATGGTTGTAAATAGGGAAAAACAGATGAATTTTTAAAAATTAAACCATTTCTGTATGTGTGGTGCTGGGTGTCAAAGCAGGCATCTTGCACACTCCAGAAAAACGCTCAGTCACTGAATGGCATCTCTAGCCCGAAGTACTATTACTTTAAAAATAGTTACAAACTACCTTTCGGGACACAAAAGACTTTATCCACTAACCAGGAAAGTGAGGACCAGGGCAGGAATGGAGTTCAGGCCCTTGGTGAATCAGAAGCAATACAAAACTCCAGTTTTATAAGCCTGTCTTCCCTGCAGTCAGGGCTTCTAGTTCACTATCTCAGTCCCTTTCTCCCTTGGATGATCAGGACCCAGAGGCACAGAACTGGACCCAGGGAGCATGATCATGAACAGAGGGTCTGCGTCTCTAAGCCGTGGTCATCCAGGAGCATTCAGGCCTTGCCAGGAGCCAGCTGGAGCTAGGTACCAGGCCTAGAAAGAGCCCTGCAACTCTCAAGAAGGCCAGTATCCACCAACTCCTGGCACTCGCCAACCCCCGACCCTCAGGCTTGGACCACTTAGGCATGGACCCCCGCTCCTGGGCAGAGAGCTCCAGAACTTCACCAAACTTCACTCTCCTGTCCCCTTTATTATTGCTGTTCATTGTTTCCCACCTTTTCTTTCTCTTTTCTCTTAATGCACTTTCCGCAAGCATGTGTGGTCCAACACAGATCCACCACCCCTGTGAGCATTCCTGTGCCAGCAGGGCCTACCAGGTCAGGCAGAGGGAAGGGACACTCAGGCCCCGAGCTCAGGGTCTCAGCCTCCCTAACCTCAGCAGGAGGGACACATGGGGACACTTTGGGGGTATAGTTTTCCTTACACCTGCAAAGCTCATCCACTCAGGACATTTCTCAGTGGGGCATAGACCACCAGTGACTCATGAGTGAGCGTTTCCCAGAGAGGGAACTATTTTCCCTGCTCAGAGTGCTGGACAAGTTCAGAAGAAAATAACCGTTTTTAACCAGGACTTCCTTGTCCCTGCCCTCATCACCGTTTAACTAAGAGGGAGGATGAGTGTAGGCCTTAGGCTTTAGGGACTTGGGTGGCATCATTCAATTGCCGCAGATTGGTTTTTGCCAACATTTATTTTTATGCTTCCTTTTCTCTTTAATTTCTAATGAATGATAACGGTTTTCCACTTACAACATAACAAAGGTATTTTGTTTGTTTTTTTTTAACTAAACTTTTATCAGTAACAAAACAAAAAAATGAGTCAACCGACATCAACACAGGGACAGGAAGGAGCCGAGGTTGCTGATACCATCATGGGGCAGGGGCAGCACAACACACACCTAAGGGTAGGCTCTCTAGAGCATGTCTGCTGCTGAGGTCTGGCCTTCCCATGGGCATCACCCTGCACCCATCATCTCAGACCAAGGACCCACCAGCCTCAGCACAAAGGGCTCCTGTATCCGGCTCAGTCCCAGCCCTCAATCCTACGGGGAGGCAGTGGAACTAGAAGGAGCTTGTTCTTTTGAGGCCTCGGTCTGGGTGGCCCGCAGTCCTTTCCCTTTAGGACTTAATTCTGAGCCTGTGCCGGGCCTCTTAGGAAGGGCAGGCATGGCAGCATGGTGGACAGGAAGAGGCAGGAGACTTCTCACCAGTTTCAGTCAGCCTGGGCAGAAGGCAGCTGAACCCCTAGGGCAAGTGCTTTAGAACCAGCTGGTCCAGAAAGGACAACCAAGACATGAAGGTACCACTACCAGAGAAAAATAACTTCCCTATGCCAGCCTGACACCAGAGAGCTTGGAGAACATGCCTGCAGACCCAGACAGAGAGAAGACAGTCCTTAAACATTCCCAAGTGTTCACGGCCTCTGAAGCAGCCCCATATCCCTGCCCCTCTGCCTGGGTTCCCCCGCTGTAGGGCAGACCTAACTCCTTAGGCCATAACCCTGTTTCTGTACCATCTTCCTCCTTGCAAAATGTGAAGTCCAGCACGCACAGGGACTCCCGAGTCTCTGGGCGTTGCCTGTTCCAGCTAGCTTGGCCTCCATACTCTATGGCATCTCATAAGTGTCTGGTGACCCCAGGCCTCTGCTCTAGAATTCTGGCCCAGGAGGCAAGGATACCTCAGCACTTTGAGGGTTGCTCAGGACCTCAAGAGCACTCCTGATCATTTGCGTCTCAAATTAATCCAAGGAGATGAGCTGAGGTCACCAAGAATGACAGACTAGAGTCCCCTGGGTCTCCCTGGGTTCTGCCTCTGGTCTGGGTGAACCCTACCCTGGGGCCTTAACATGGAAAACGCTGTTGTCAGTTGGTCCTGCTTCACAAAGGAGTGGTTCCTTCCTTCCTGTGAGATGGGAAGAAGGCATATGCGGGAGCGGTGCTTCCTGAGCCTACGGGTGGGTGATTCCCTCTTCAGACCCAGGACCCGAGGCAGGCCCAGAGCTCATTCCTCTCACTCCCAGGAGGCCCTTTAGGATGAGAGCACCATCCAACCAGATCTGGTCCCTTAAGGGGTCCCTGTGTCATCTCAAGCCCCAAGCTGTTGTCACACCAGGATGGTCTTAGCTTAAAAGGCTCTCTGAAGGTGGCCACAAAGGAAACGGCTAGCACGGTGCCAAACGGACAGGACCCAGGTCCTCTGGTATAAGTGGTGGGAGGTGACAGAAGAGACAGATCTACCTGAGAGAGCTGCTGCCAGCCATCCAACGATCCCAAAGAAGAGCCACATGTCTGGTGCCGTCTCCGACTGCTACACACGCCTGCCCGCAGGAAGTGCCATCCTGGTGCGGACAGCAGCCGCCTGGCTGCCTCACCCGTGTAGCCCTTTCTGTTCTCGGTGTCCTCTGTGCTGCACACACTCTCTCTCCTACACACAGGCCCAGCCTGTGAGTATCTCACACCTCTACTTTCTGCTTGTGGTTTTGGTCTCCAGGAAGTCAGGCTGTTGTTACAGGAGGTGGGGCAGAGGGAGCCCACCAACCCAAGTGAGCCCCAAGAGAGTCACGGAGTCACATGCCGATGTGCACACTCCCGGGGGTCTTTCAAGGAAGACCAAGAGGCTATGCCTTGTTCCCTTGAGACAAGGGACAGCTCGTTCCAGAAACATCTAGCAAAGGGTGCTAGTTGAGTGAATTCATGGCCCCTTGCTGCCTCTCCCGCAGAATCCAACTCTGATGAGGTTAAGTTCCAAGGTTTGTGCGGGGCATGTGGTGACTAAGAGGCAAGAGGATAGGGTCTTATGCACTTTTCTTTTGTGTGTGTGTGTGAGAGAGAGACAGACAGACAGACAGACACACACACACACACACACAGACAGACACACAGAGAGAGACAGAGATGTGTCTTAGGTGTGTGTGTTGTGTGTGAGAGAGAGAGAGGTGTCTCGTGTGTGTGTGTGTGTGTGAGAGAGAGAGAGAGAGAGAGATGTGTCTCAGGTGCGTGTGCATGTCTGTGTATGTGTGTTTGTGTGCATGTGTGTGTATGTATGTGTGTGTCTGTGTGTATGTATGTGTGTATGTGTGAGTGTGTCTGTGTATGTCTGGGTGTATGTGTGTGTATGTGTGAGTGTGTGTCTGTGTGTGAGTGTGTGTGTGAGTATGTGCATGTCTGTGTGTATGTGAGTGTGTATGTGTGAATGTGTGTGTATGTGTGAGTGTGTGTGTATGTCTGTGTGTGTGTGTGAGTGTGTGTATAGACTTGAAGCTAATGCTGGGAGTCTTCTTCAGTTGTTTTCCATTTTACTGACTGAGGTTGGGTCTCTCACTGAATACAGAGCTCACAATTCCACTAGTTTAGCTAGCCAGTTTATCCTGGAGGCCCCCATTCTTGCCCCTCCAGTCCTGGGATTACAGGAAGCTGTTCTCCCACACCTTCAGGCCTTTTACACAGGTTCTGAAGACCTGAGTTCTGGGTCTGGTGCTTCCATGGCTCACTACTGGGTCATCTCTCCAGTCCTGGGAAGCACTTTGAAGAGAAAAGGGCCTACGCCTCTCCGAAGGAAAACCCAAAGAAAGATGATTTTAGAGCAGGACACCCCCACCTCCATGTGCCTCATCCCAGGTGGGAGATGTACAGAGACGGCACAGGATCTGAACCCCCTTTGAGGACTGACTGTTCATGTCATACGATGGTAATTGGTTTTTAGCAGATGGCCATGGGGAGAGGTTGCCTGGGAGACACTGAATTGTGCTAGGGGGGAGGCTGGGACTTGTGTGTGTTTAGTTCACTGATGTGCTCCCCTTGGAACACAGTAGTTGCTAAATAAATTTTGTTGAAAGAACGAGGGAATGGATAATTTGGCTCTCTAAACAGAACCCGAGGGTCTAGAAAGGGACTGGTTCCCAATTTCAACCTTGTCCCATACGAATGACTTTTTCTGGTTCTCCACTCCCGACATTCAAGCTTGTTTTCTTCACTTGTGTAATGGAGAGGAGTTCTCCCTCCAGTAGGAGTGTCCCACCAGCTGAGGGATCATTTGATGCGGCTCATTGGGAAGCCATAGTGAACCAGGCCCCTCCCACAATGAGACCCCGCCCAGCCCAGAGGGAGAGAGGGGCGAGAACGGGTTTTGGCATCAGCTAAGGGCACCCTCTAGTGGAGGGTCTCTGACAGCACAAGGGGCCGGTGGGCATATGCTGCTTTGTCTGATTTCACGCCACTCAACGCCAGAGTCTTTGGAGTGTGCGATCTCGGAATCACTCCACGGGAAGAGAAGAGATGAGACAACTTGCCTGCCTTCAAGAAGCGTGCAATTCAGAATAAGTGTGAGACGGCTCAGTGAATAAAGGTGCTTGCTGCCAAGCCTGAGTTCAGTCCCTGGGACTCCTCACATGGTAGGAGAGAACTGACTTCTGCAAGTTTCCCTCTGACCTCTGACCTCCACACATTCATGAACACGGGCAGGTAGGCAGACAGACACACACTTTTAAAAATAAATCAGTGGATCCAAAAGTAGAACGGAAAGGGATTCTTCTCTAAATCCAAATGAAAACAGGAAAGACAAAGGAAGAAAACCGGAATAGAAGGGAGACATAGGTTTCAGAGGCAGAGGTAGGTACAGGGTAGCGGGAGGGTGCTCCTGGCATGGAGCACTGGGTACCTCAAGGCAGGACGGCAGGAGGCAAGTGTTGCGGTGGCTACAAGGACAGGATACATTCTAAACCACTCATGCTTCCAGGGCTTTAAGCTCAGAGCAGGAAGCTGCAAGATGCATCCCGTTGGATGCTCAGATCAGTGACGTCATACTTATTTATAACTCTTGGAACCAAGACCTTTGGATCTCAATTTGCAAGGGACACCAGTGGCTCTCTCTGCTTGAGGAATCCAGGTGCCTTTCACTATTTCCACTGACCTCGGTCCTGCAAGGTGACCAACGGAAGAGTGTCTGAGCAGAAGGAAGAGGAAGCCCACAGAAGTCCACTTCTGTGTGCAGCAGGAAAGGTTGAACGCTACTACTCCTAAGAGAGTTATCGTCCCATGTCGTCCCCCGCCCCCATCTACCTCCACGCATGCGCCACGGCAAGTGCACTTCCTATTCTCATAATAAGTAAAAGTAAGTGTGTGTGTGTGAGTGAGTGTGTGTGTGTGAGTGTGTGTTTAAGACAAGAGAGGATGGGAAATGTGGAATTTAAATCATCGTGGCTTGCTTGCTTGCTTCATAGAGGCCAACACTGAAACCCAGTCATCCATTTTGCACTTAAATGTGCCTTTCCTCACGTGCGGTCTGGTGCTAACATTTGCGGGCTGACTGGGACAGGCTGGCTCACAGAATTATTTACCTCTTTCAAATATCAATGCACTTCATTACACAACACCAGGAAATCAAAAGTCACCGTATCTTTGACCCCATCCAGAAATTTCAGTCTCTGGGCAGCTGTCTCTGTCATGGTAGCAGAGTTTTCTAAAATTCAAAAAGTTCACCTAAAACCTCCAGCTTCATCAGTAGCAACAACTATATCACCAATTGTTTCCCTTGACGTGATAGGCTTGCTTTCTTTACTTTCAAAATACTGCCTCAGTTTCTTCAGTCTGAATAACTATGGATTCAAGTAAATATAGCATTCTTTTCTTGAAGATTTATTTTTATTTTATTATTTGTATGTGTGTGAGAGAGAGACAGAGACACAGAGAGAGATAGAGACAGAGAGAACGCATGAACACACAGATAGGTGCAGGTGCCCTTGGAGGCCTGAAGACGGCTTTGGATCCCCTGGAGCTAGTTAGAGTTACAGAGGTCCTGCCATGGGTCCTGGGAACTGAACTTCAGGCTTCCTAAGAGCAACAGGCACTCCTAACCCTCATGATCTCTTCAGTCCCCAAATATGGCATCCCTTTAAAAAGAAAAACAAATGCAGCCAGTTCAGATTGCAAGGCCTAGAACAGCTAATGCAGGGCTTTCCTAGATGCAGCCTAGATGTGCTATAGCACAAGAAGCACTCGGCACCTTCATACTGGCTACATTTTGTTTGTTTGTTTTAAATCTGGATTTATGTTTTGAAATAAAGATACAACAAAATTTTATAAAATTGACACATGGGAACACACTGCAATATACCATTACATGCTACATTTACTTAGTTAAGAGATCCAGTCTAAACAAGAATCTGCCAGTTATACATGTGAGTTCCTTCCTTTCTTTGAGCAAAAATGAAGCTTCTGTGAAACACTGGACACATCAGGAGAGCCAGTGTTGGCTCAGCACCTCTCCAAGTGAGGGAGCCTGGAACACAGCCTCTCTGACGGGGCTGGACTCCATCCTGCAGCTTCCCATGTGGGCTGCAGGGCCTGTGACTGGATGTTCCCCAAGTCTGAGTGCAATGGTCCTTTACTCTCTGGTGATAATGCAAACATCACTGTTGGCTTCCTTCTATTGTAAACTTCAACAGGATAGACTGCATGCTTACAGACTCTGGACATGGAGTTCAGGGATCCTTCTGGAGACTCTCACCACTTTGGGAAAGCCCTTCCTCAGAAGTTTCTGATCTGGCTCACTTTCTCACATGGTGACTTGGAACTTGGGACATCCTCCACACAAAGGAGTACTCATGAGGTGGGCCCCGCTGGCAGTCCTTTCTGAAGCTGTGCCTAGGCTCTGCCACATCTCCACTCTGGCTCAAACCATTTTTTCCAATTACAGTAGATTCACTTCTCCCCTCCTCACATTCTATTTTACAGCTGGTATTTTAGTATTTCCCTGCATAGCTTCTTTATTTCATTCTAATAATCAACAATTTGAGGCTGTTACATAATCATCCTTTGGGTATTTTGCAGGTCTGTAAAACAAAGCTGATCTGTATAAGTAAGAAACAAATGCTGGTAGATATGGCACCTTGCCACATGCCCACACGAGTGTGTGGTAGCCTTCAAAGAGTCAACCAATTTTGCTCGTGTTTTCCTCTCACAGGCTTAGGGCAAACATCACAAAACCAAAAGCTACAATAAATGCTACTGGTGGTCCAACGCTTCATTTCCATACATCACTTCAAAATAAAGGTTCCAGCCTTTGACTCTGCCCACAGATTCAAGTTCTAAGACATTATCATTTGACACCATCATTTCCATAGTTTACCAAAAACTAGAATGACATTCTTTTTTTTTTTCTTGGTTTTTCGAGACAGGGTTTCTCTGTGTAGTTTTGGAGGCTGTCCTGGCACTCGCTCTGTAGACCAGGCTGGTCTCGAGCTCACAGAGATCCGCCTGCCTCTGCCTCCCGAGTGCTGGGATTAAAGGCGTGCGCCACCAACGCCCGGCTAGAATGACATTCTTAATGTGTGTAGGTAGTATAAAATTACACCCCAAAGTTTAACTTCTTCATAATTACTTCAAAATTTATAGTATCATCAAATCTTGCTAATTATAAAGAGTAAATTTGTAATTTCCTCTACAATGATAGTACCATCA